TGAACTTTGCTAACCACGGGATTGGAGAAATGCTGAAGAAATTTGGATGTTAATCTACTGTGTTTAATGACTGGTAAACTGTATTATATTTGCTAATCTGTATCCTGGTGAAATTTGAGAAAATTCAGTCAGAACTGGCACGTATTGTGTATTTGCTGTGAAACTGGTCACATTTACTGAACTTTTGTTTATCTGTCACATATCCTGTGAAATTTTGACTGATTGAATTTTTGAAAATTAAACATGCCACCAGAGGAACTGAAAACCTTGCTCTTAGAAGCCAAGAAGAAAAGAAGAAACTGTAAAGCTGCTATTACCAGACTAGGGAAAGTACTAGATAGACTGATTAATGAAAAAAGAGGAATAGAAGAAATCCAAGAAATAGTTTTGAAAATAGACACTGCATTTGATAATCTGGTGGAAACACATACTGCATATACTCAAATGATAGATGACGAGGATGAATTTGAAACTGCAGAAATTTGGTTGGATGATGTGCAAAACCAGGTCACAACATTAAAAATGTATTCCAAAGATTATGTTAAACACTTAGATGATGAGTTCCAAGCAAAAACCCAGAATGTTGAAATTCCCCAGAGCCCTGATCAAATAAACCTGTCACCCTCTTCATCCCCTAATGACAATTCATTACCTACTGATATCCAGATTAATTCTGATGTAAATAATATTGTTGATCCTGACAACCACAGTATAGACGATAATCCGAGTAAATCTGCTGTCAATCCGAGTACTTCTGCTGATGATAATCCGAATCCAACTACTTCTGCTGTTGTTAATCCGAGAGATTCTGCTGCTGCTAATCTGAGAAATTCTATTGCTGTTAATCCGAGAAATTCTACTGCTGTTAATCCGAGAAATTCTACTGCTGTCAATCCGAATAATTTTGATGCTGATAATCTGAGTACCGAGAATATGAATGGTCTTACTGCTTCAACTAGCCTGAATAGTAATTCTGTCAGTGGAAACCCTACACAATCTACCGATGTTTGTCAATTTAAAATGGAGAAACCGAAGATGCCAAAGTTTAGTGGAGATGTTCGTGAATATTATACTTTTAAGTCAGACTTTTTGCATATGGTTTCATCGAGATATAGTAAACGAGATGCTATAACTTTACTGCGTTCCTGTTTGGTAAATAAGCCATTAGAATTGATAAGTGGTATGGGTTCTGATTATGATGCTGCCTTTGAATATCTAGACTCAATGTATGGAGATCCAAGATTTATTGCTGATTGTATTACCCAAGATTTAACACGTTTCCGTCCACTAAGAGATGGTGAAGATGCACGTTTTTGCGAATTAGTTCATGTTGTCCGA